TGTCCATATATTTTAATACACTGTTCAGTGATCATCATAAGAGGTTAACAAGAAAAAAATAAGTGTGGCTATTAAAAGAAATTACTGAGTTTTGGTGGTATAAGCCTATGGCATTCTGGAAAGATGACACAGTTGAGGAAGAATATCATAACATCAAATTATTCCTTATTTCCTTAAACAGTAAAAAAAAAAATGTGCCTTAGCTACTTGACCATAAAAGGAAATAATAAAAAGGGAATATAAAAGAATCTACTAATTTAACTTTAAAAAAATAATAACATATTTTCAAACTTTATGATCAATGAATAGGTATTGCAACATCAAACTAAGAGAGTCAACCTGGAGAAGAAACTTGTGATGCCTGAAATAAAAAGAATGACCTGCACATATAAATGAGCTGATGTTCATTATTCTTGAGAAGAAATAAAAGTGAAAATAAGGACTGCAGAAAAGTAAGTAGTTATGACAATAAAAGACAAGTTCTAAACCAGTTAATACTACAGATAAACTACACACACTTCAGAAGGCATTACGAGAAGTAATAAACCAACTAAAAAAAGCTAATCAGAACAATGTGTCCCATTGTGGATAAAACATATAATTAACAACACAAGGGGAAAGGACAGGCCAAGTAAATAGTTTAAGAAAATTTAGCCGACAAATATTAAATATAGCTAAGAAAATTAAAAAATTCTATGATATAGGAAATTTCATTTGAAGAATAATTAAACATTTTTTTCTTGACCTGGAAGATCATCACATTAAAAGAGTAGCTGGACTCTTGAAACTATCATCAAAGACAATAAAAATTCATTTGGCTATATTTACTGAAATATAGTAAAATAATTATTAAAAGAAGACTAACAGAAACTTAATGTGGTTCATATAACTGATTCAAGTTTGTTACTTAAAAATATTTTTCTGCCAATTTTATATGTGAGTTTATGAATACTCAGACTCCTTGTGAAAAATTGTCAAGAGTGAAAGAAATTTTAGAATGTTAATTACCCAGAGAGTAATGGCATGCAGCCTTTTGTGTGTGAGAAGCTACAGAAACCAAAAATTGGAGAGGAAAAGTTTAGAGCAAAAGATTTTTAAAAATATTCCTGAAGCATTCTTTCCTGCAATTTAAAAATCACAGTGTGCAGTGAGAGAAAATTTTATTGATAGTGGGTTGTGTTAATGAATAGTTTGCAACCATACCAAAAATTAAAAAAAAGATGAAGAATATCTGGTTTTGACACAAGAAAAAAATGAGCATTAAATAATCATTAAAAGTACACACTTTGCTAATTATTAATATGTAAATTAAGTTTTGAGATACAATTAAATTGGCAAGATATATAGCTCATTGTTTCAAAAGCATATGTATATGTAGGTCAATGATAATCAGAAGCATATAGCAACATAATTTAATTAATTTAGGTTTTTAATTCATATGTGTGCATATATAAACACACATAAACAGAAAGAGAGATTTTCTGGTTAGAAAATAAGTAAACATCAACGCTTTAACAACATTATTAGTTCTACTCTGGAAGTATTTATTTTTCCTTGGCACTTTTTTTATATCTTTCTTTATGTATCAGATATTATCCTGAAAGTGATACTACAGAAAAAGAAGACAAGAAATACTGATGAAAATATCACAGAGCTCTAAAATAACTTCAGAACCGTTTGGGCTATGGCCATGCTGGCTGGACTTCAGAAAATGTCTTCCTGAGGCAAATGTCTCTGAGATGCTCCAGGAAGAACTATTAAAATTGTTTAAAGTCAGACCCTTGAAAGTCACCCTAGTGATGAATTTTATCTTTCCTTGGAAAACATGCTTGTGAAGGGATTTTATAGGTGGTAGCAGACTTAGAAACTTTATGGTTGTAAAACAATAATCCAAATTTTAGCTTTTGATGATTTGTAAGTGGTGACAAATTTGAAGAGGGTATTGTAAAACAAAATGGAATTGAATAGTTTTATATATTATACTACATTTCATGGAGGGGACCTAATAAATGGAATTGATCAGAGCCATTCTGAAGAATTCCTACTCACTGTTCTGACAGTACCTGCTAAATGTTTACAGTTTTGAGTTCATATATGACTTTGTGAATTTAATATCTTGCAAAAGATCTTTTATAGTTTTAGAGTTAGACTGAGAAAATCAGCTATTTTCATTGCAAAAAATATGTATTATTTTTTCTAAATTTGTGTCAGTTACAGAAAACACAGTAAAAGTGTCATTTTTTTAAAAAGAAGAAATGATAAGGTTATGTTACAACAGAAAAAATAGAATATATGTCCTTAAAATGATGATGATATTGTTACTAAAAAATAAAGCAGTGCACAAAATTTCTAAATAAAAACAGCAAACCCCACAAGACTCATAATCATCATGAAAATGTACCTGCTATACTTTAATACAACTTTGATTTTGTATCCTTCCTTCAACTTGCAATGAGGATGCTCATATAGGTAGAAGATATACTTAGGGAAGAAAATAAGACTTTCTGTAGATATCCTGAGGTAGAAGAAGCTGAAAGGGAAA